GGAAACATTACGGCTGTTGAATGGATAATCCTGTTCTTTGCTGCTGACCAGAACAACCACCCTCCTCCTGTTGACGGGAAACCAATCATTTGAGCATCTTGTGCACGTTCATTGAGTTTATCTCAATTTTCCTTGGGTACTAGAATTATGGCTGATGCTCCAAAAGGATAAAGCTTATTCGGGTCAACTTCAATGTTGAATAGTTGAGTTAGGGGAGAATTGGCGACTTTCGAGTTGGGGATTCGGTTGTGGATATACGATGCAGCTTGATATGCATGTCCCCAGAAAGGCTTAGGGAGCATACTCTCGTGGAGCATTGTTCTAGCCATGTCCCCTAGAGTTCGGTTGACACGTTCAGCTTCGCCGTTTTGTTCTGGACTATATGGCGGTACAGGGGCAAAGTTGACTCCAATGGGTTTGAGTAGTTTTCTGAGGGTACCGGTATATTCGGGTGCATTGTCTGTCCTAATGGTTTTGGGATATCTGCCGAGTGTTGCCTTGATATTTTCAACCCATTCCATTATCTGAGCCGGTACTTGATCCCTAGTCACCAGAATAGCCGTCCATATGTAGGTGGTTGCATGATCTCTCATTGTGAGTAGGTATCTACGTCCAGATATGTCATACGGGACAGGGCCTGCAACATCTGAAACCAGGAGATCAAGAGGTTCGTCTCGTGGGATAAGTGAATTTGACCCAGGAGACTTCTTGTCGAGAGCTTTTGATTTGGCGCACTGGTCACAGAAAAAAGACTTCCACGAACGTTTCTCAATTTCTTCTGGAAAGTGTAAACTCAAGTATTTCTTAACTACTTCTTCAGACACATGCCCCAGGCGGCGATGCCATAGGTACGGGTCAAAAGATGGTACGGTAGTAACTTTGTTTATTTCAATGGCATCTCTACACATAGCAATATACCAGCAGAAGTTTTGAAAACGAGTAGTGAAAGAAATTTCTTCTGGACTAATTAAGGTGGCCGTCCTTCCCATGAATTTCAACTGCCAACCCGAGTCCGTCAAGCGTCCAACTGAAAGGATCAGTCCATCAACTCCTGGGCAAAAATAAACGTCATCGAATTCAATCGGTCCCTTCGGTGTCGTGATCCGCACTCAACCCTTGAATCTGACATCAACCGTACAGTCAGCAACCGCAAGTGAAATTTTTCTTGGGGTGGCTAGATCTTCACGTGAGATGAACAATTCGATATTGCCACTTACATGGGTCGATGCTCCAGAGTCAAGAAGAACTTTTCCATCGTCGACTTCAGGGATTTCAAGTTGGCGCAATCGGTTTTGGGGGTATGGAGGTTGGTGAGGGGGAAGGTAGTTGGATTCAGGGGTGTTATAGTCGCGGGGGGGTGGATCTATGACCTTCTTGTCGACGTCATCCCAGAAAGCCGCACAGTTGTTGTACCAGTGGCCTACTTGCTTGCAGTAGTGGCAAGCATCACCATACCAATTCTTCAAGACTTCATTCAACGGTTTCCCTCGGAATCGCTGAGCTTTATCAATAGATAAGGAGGTCTTGGGGTGTTCTTGCTTCAAAACCGGAGGCGGTCGGCGGTGCGGTGCAGAGTACAGCGGTCGGGTTGTTTTTATTGCGTTAATGGCATCAAGGTCCATTGGCGCGTAACCATCCGAAGGGGTGGGCACTTTGTTCTTAGCCTTGCTCGATGCGGATTGGATGATGGTCGTGACATAGCTGAAAGACGGCTTGTCTTTCTGCTCGAGGTTTTGGTCTACAGAGAATTCAAACGTTTTCAGATCAACTCCAATTGGTGCAACGAACGAACTCTGAAGAAACAGACCACCAAGTTCATCAACGGTGATGTTGAACTGCTTGATTTCGGCCATCACACAACTCCATTTTGCAAGGTTGACTTTGGAGCCAGGGGTCTTGTCAGTTGCCAGCGCAATGATCTGCTCGACTAAAGATAGCTTGTGGCGGCGATCGGAGCGGCTACATTTGGCTTTCAAGAGTTCGAAGATGGACCAAGGATCTTCGTTATCGGTACTGTCCACAATACCGAGGAGATCTTCATTGATCGTCGATCGAATCAAGCGAGCAATCGAGTCTTGCTCATCTAGTAGCTGGGCGGTGAAATTCGACTGCAGGATTGAGAAATCCTTGACTTGGAAGATTTGTCGGAGCGTACAATTCAGCTCCTTTTCCCAAATCTTGAAGTTGAAACCATCACATGCTAGTTTTGTTTTGGCTGGGTTGGCGGCGTAATGAATGCCAATTGGATCCTTGTTGAAGTTTTGAATGACGATTTCGGACCGCGTGAGGGGCGAAGACGATCCACCTGGATTTCCGGGCTGGGGCAGCAGCAACTTGAGTTTATCGAATTCGGATTTGAGATATAAGTAATCTTCGGCTGTGGGTGTGGGTGTAGCAGCCATGTCGATATCGAGAAGCGATTCGTAATTTTTTTTGTTTTTTTTCTCTTTCTAATAATCTTTTTTGAACTTCTTTTTGATGTTTGACTCTTTCTTCTTCAATTTCTTTTATGAGGTTTTTGTTCGCTAATCGTTCTATCTCTTTTTCTTTCTCTATCTTGATCTTTGATTCGTTGTTTGCTTTGTTTTGAATTGCTTTGAAATCTACGCTCCTGCTACGTCCAGCACCAGTCATCCAGTCAAATAGTCTAAGATCCCCGAGATGCGAATATCAGCAGCGATCAGCCAAGAGCCGGCTTTTAACCTGTAAGAAAGTGAACCTGACGAAAAGGAACATGTCACGGTAAGCTAACGGCGCGCTGCGATCTCGACTCCAAACTCGGTTTTGATTACACTTACCTGACGAAAAGGAACACGTCACGGTAAGCTAACGGCGCGCTGCGATCTCGACTCCAAACTCGGTGAGGAAAGAGAGAGGAGCCGGGACCGGAGCGGCCGGCAACTAAACTAGGTACAAGAGATGTGCCGCAGCAACTAGGTCACACATGATGATAAACATAGTTGAAACACTATCTATATGACACTAAGTTAAGTTTGTAATCTTGTCTCCGCGCTAACTCTAACAACATACAATAAAAAAACAAAGTACTGGTCTCCACTTGAAGGCAGGAAATTTGATCAAACTGGGAATTTTTTTCTTTGCACTGGATACAAAACAGAGGTGAAAATGGGACCAAAATCAAGGGAAAGTGGTGCTTAAGAACAGTTACTACTCTGTGATGGATGAAAATTTGGAGTACCTTTGAACAGTGTATATTTCTGATTTGTAGGGAAGGCCAATGTCAAGGATTATTTTGTACGAATTTTGTTAGAATACTCAAGATAAAGGACTGTGTTTCCAATTCTTAGCTTGTTGGTTGGTACTTGAAACAATGGAATAAGTATAACTGGATGAAAATTAGGCTGATAAGAGTGGTTGTGTATTTTTTGCCAAGCGTGACATGAGTGGCCTTATGAAAGACATACTCCCAAAATATTGATACTGAAACTTTATAATCTTGCAACCCTGGACAACCATTTGGAAAAAAGAAGGAATATCTAGATGCAAAATTGAGACTGAATGAGCTGGTCCAAAAGCTCCACGAACAATAAGAGTCCCAGAACTTGTAATATGCGAGGGGAGGGAATAGGGTAAAAACATGTATCTCTTGATGGAGGTTGGAGATATCACATCAGCAAATTTCCTATCACCAGAGAGAAACATACAACATCATTGATATGTGAATCCAGATCTTTAAAGCCGCTTTAAATTAGCCTCATGCAAGTTTGGAAAAGAACAAATCATGGTTTTCTCGGAATCAATTCCAAATAAAAATCCTATCTTAACGTAATAAATTGAGGAGGAGAGCAGTGTGACAGTGAGTTCAGAAAATTTTGGTGGGGATTGCAACAGATTTAAAGAACTTTATGCACATGTGACTAGGTATACAGATGTAATTTTAGTGGGTGGGTTGTTCATGGTTGGAATGTGTATTTTTTGCATAGCAGAGATACCAGGATTCATCTCAGGTGAAACAGGAAGTGAACAAGTGGATTGATGTACCTCAGTTATATCCAGAGAAATAGCTGAACAGGTTTTGTATGGGAAGGGATATGAGGCTTGCAAAGAATGTAGGGCAATTGTAATTGACTGTGGGTGAAGTGAGGGAATCGTGTCACACAAACGTACGCGCGTACATTTGTGTGACACAAATCCATCCCCACCACACACCACATTCAACGCGGACAGTATTACCTCATCTGCAGAGACCAAACAAAACTGAACCAAATCAAATTAATCTGTGGAAGATATGAGAATGGTCATGATTGGCCTGGTTTGGTCCATGGCCCCGGTCATAGTACAAACTATAATATTGACCCTGGTGCCCCATCACATGGTTACTGGTGGTGTGCCAGTCTGAAAGGCCAGGAATGTTTGGGTCATGTTTGTGCTGGAAGTAGTGCGGAGGTACATAGAACGGCTGATAAACTGAATTGATCAACTCTCTTGACAAATATATTATGGTGGGACAGTTTTACCCCTTTGACAGCAGCAGCATAAAGGGGAATGGAGAAGAAAGAAAAAAAATGATTCAGTAAGAGTCCAAGAGGTGTCTGATGCCACCAAAGATATAAGAGCTTCTGAGTTTCAGAGTATAATAATCCCCCCATACCAACTCTTTCTCGACATCCAAAAAATATACTCTGGTGCTTAACTAGTTTGTTATAAATACCACCTATCCCACCATGCTTGATATTGTTGGTAATGTCCACATGTCTTTGACAATCCCGGGCTCAATCTGTGTTGTTGGTCAAGATATACATATGCTCAGTTCTGTTGCCAGTCCAGATGTTGTCAAAGATCTCTCTGAATCCAAAACTCTACTATTCCATGTTGTCCTTAAGACATCAAGTTTTCTTTTCCCATCTATAATATCACACAGAGATACCCAGATTTTTATTTCCGGGCAGCTTGCCACTCCATCTCCAACTATTCATATGCTTTATCCTAGAATTGAGATTCCTACTGGTGGCTGGATGGCTCATATGGGCAAACTCGAGATGTCAGTGGATGATGAAGTTCAGAAGGCAGTGTTTTTGGGGAGCGTTTATGTGGCCGGCGTCTTCTGGAATCACCAAAATCAATGGAACAGCTACGTCAAGGTTGTGGATTGCTCCTTGGGAAAGGTTCACATTTTACTTTGTGTAAGATGACAGCTCAGACAAGGTATACTGACACGCATTTGGCTCTTTTGTTGTTGCAAAACCAGAAAATGAATATTCACCTTTCAACTGGTGATCCAACTACGTTGAGAGCGATTCCAAAACTGAAGAGAGGCGACTGGATCCAGGTTCAAGGGTATAGTGCCCAAGGCCTGCCCCGAGAAGACAGAGTAATGAAAGTCAAGGTTAGTACTTATTGTTTTTGGTTTTACCCATCACCATCATAATTCTGGAGCTGACCAGTGCTTTAATATCTCCAAAGATAACCAGATTTGTAGCTTTGGGGCGGTCTGAATCAAGTGTGTATGCTCTCAGGAACAATCCCAGGAAGAGATTTAACCTGACTGTGGATGATTGGAAACCGGAAAAGCAGTCAAAGAGAGGAGGAAAGAAGATATCTACTGGGCATTATCTCATCCACTCCCGCTCTCACAATAAAAATGGCTGTTGACCCTTGACTAGAACCACCACAACAAAAATAATCAATCACACATGTTGAATTTCAGTTTTACTGTTGGGAATCACTATTCCACTTAAACCACATCTACATGTTTTCAATTGATCTGTTGATGTCTGATTTACCTTTTCTACTTATCTTAAATTCAACTTGGATCCTGCACCAACTGCATGTAGAACTAGACATCTTTTCATGAGAGTGACATCTTAATTTGCTGAAAGCTCATGTTAGGGGAATGTGAGTTCAACTTCAAGTCTTATTGTTGAATTCATCTTGATCGGTGTGAATTGGAAGAAGCTGGTTGGATTGTGTGATGTATATATAGCTGAAACCTGGCTGTTGACATAGGATAGATACACACACTTGGAAAATATGGCAACAGAAATATGATGGTACAGCTTGACCAGAATTGAAGTGATTTGAAAAATTTAGAAAAGGATGATTGATAGTAGAGAAGAATGCTTCTGCTGTCAAACCAGAGAGTTAAATAGATTACATCAGAAAGCAAGAGTGTAATGTCACACAAGCTAGAAGTGTGCCATAAAATGGGAATTTTCCGGATTTTGAAATCCACTCTTTGGGCTTTCTGCTCAAGAACACTACTGAAATTTATTGGAATCAGTATCCAGTATACGAAATGATTGTAATCCAACATTTGTGTATGGTATAATGTAAGATCACTGGATGAACTGGTGCTATTTACACCATCAGAATGCTGGATGACTTTCATAACAGTCTTGCAAGGCTAAATTGATCAAGCAAATACTGGAGATGACTGGGTATGTCACAAGCAGATGCATTCACTATGCATTTTCCCCAATTTGGGTTGGCCGTTTGACAACTGAGATCTTGTGAAATAATATCAGACAGCTGGACATATATCAGACAAGAAGGACTAAGTGTGGACATTGACACAAAACAGGACATGAAGAGGCCAAGTGAAACAAAACATTACAACCAGTTTAATTAGATTCGTGGTTGCTATTTTGTACATGTGTTTTTTGAAAGAATGATAGGCAAATAACAGGAACAAAACCTCAAGCAGAGAAAAACAGTGTCAGCATATCAATATCATTTTTGAGTAATCTGACGAGACGAGTTTGGAATTAAGAAGGGACTAGTGGGTTGGATCTCTTTCCAGTGATTCAAGTAATCAATGGTAATTGCTTCGGCAAGTTGGTGGCAGGTGGGTGGCTGTTGCAGTGCAACAATCTTGTTGGGTGACTCAAAAGCTGGTTTAAATATTTTAACGATGTAAGCAGAGAGATTTTTCCAAATGGGTTCCTTGGGGGTGCATTGAGTGGACGAGGTTTCACTGATTATTGAAATGGCCTGAATGAAATAGATGCATTCCAAGACTGGGGAGGTTCGGTGGTTTCTGGAGGTAATGAAGAGTCCACGAACACCACCAAGTAAAAAGTATACAAGGGGCTGGAAGTTCTGTCGGGATTGTATTGTTTGAAGTTTTTTTCTTGCCTCGTCCTTCAATTGTGTCAGCTGAGTTGAAGTATTCCCGGTAGTGGTTACAGCAGATGAGCCCTGTGGATTGGGGTTGGAGTTTTGAGCGGAGCGGGAGCTGTTCTTTCTCTGGGTGCTGTCAAGGGGTTGGCTACTGAGCGCTGTGAGAACTCCTTTGGGAATGGTGGCAGTCCTGTGAGGGGGAAATAGCAGATGAGATATATCACGTATGTAATGATCCACTACAACTGTTACGGCTGGTTTGAAAGACCTGCCCCTCTATTGTACTACACAAGAGTTAACACAACAATCTATTTATTGTTGTGGCAAAAACTGATGATAGAGAAAACTATGTGTAGCAGTCTCTTATCAAACCTAGATCAACGTGGATTCAGCAGACTATTTGAGTGGAAATGTTGAGTAAGAGGTGTTTTTCTGTTTAGAGGTTTATGTATTTTGAGAAATGATTGACGTATGTACTGATGTTGAATGTGAATTTATGAGATGATATTGTGGAAAAAATGTGACTATTGAAAGTGTCTTATCCGCTTCCTCCTTGAATCTTAGTCAAGAGC